AAAAAACACATTAATGTATCAGAGACAAAGCAGTTTGGTCACATTATTCCTAATTTTCACAGTCACTTGTACAGTGCAGTGATAACCAAATTTTGAAGAGCAACAGCAACACAGAAAATAGATAAGAAACCCAAATTTACCTTCTGCCTGTGCAAGTAGTTGTTCTTTGCCCTCAAGGAGCCTCCTAATGTCAATATGAGTTACAGATATTTTTCCTGGACCATCAGCATCTGACTGCTGACATTGTGACTCCTCTTGCTGCCACACCTCATAAATTTGCCTGTTCAGAGCCTCCAGTTGTTCCTGACAATCACTGTACCAGGTTTGAACCCATCCCTGAAACATGTCACAGATGACCTAATTTCTTCTGCATAACCTACATTACAGCTGACAAATTGATTTTAACCTATAAGAAAAATACTTTATATATTCAATCATCTGTGAAATAAGAAACAGACCAAGTCTGTGAAAGCCAAAATCAGAATACAACAATACAGACCTGAGTTTTTAACAGTAGTCCATAATTGCTAAATCAGATCCCTACTCGCTCACATTTTCCTTAAGTCTGGTTCTTTAATTTGAAAAACCTAAGAAATCTAACCTTAAGAGTTGATGTGTATTCCATGCACATTTCTTGTTTCAACTGGTGCACACTGCTTCGACTCGACTTGCCATCATGTGGTCGTTTGAGCAATGAAATTTCTAATTTTAACCCTTTTGTTACCTCATTCAGTTCATCATTGTGCTTTTTATTTAAATCCTGAAACAAATAAGAAAATAATATATATTTCCACCACGTGGATACTTCCAGATCATATTAACAACAACATTTATTACAATAATTTGTTACTTAATTCAGGCTAAAACTATTCCTAAAGGAAGGTAAGAAGCTTGTGTGTATGATTAGAAATGTATACAACATACAAAAACACCACAAAATATGAACTCAATCTACTTGACTGCAGTAAGGGTATACTGCTCAGACAAAATTAGGTACACTACATCATGATAAGGAAGACATTGAGATA